TAAGGCAGCCTCTGCTTTCCTGTGCTTTAGTTGCCCTTTTACTTGCTTCCCCCCTCCCTCCTCCCTCCCATTAGATTGAAATTATTTTTCTGATGGTAATTTACAACCTAATTCCTCAGTCTGTCTTTGGTGAGCGACAGGACCACATGGGTGAATCTAGCAGTGCTGTTCAATGCTGCTGAGAGCAATTAAATTGTTGACAAGAGCAGAGCTGCAGAATCGGAAAATAAATAATACAAAGATGTGTGACACTGGAGTTGTATTGTGTGCCGTGTTAAAGAGTTCCCCTAATAAGTTTCAGGGGGAGGGGATGGATTATGACTGCCTATGGAACACTAGGTATGGGAAATAGTTTGCTTTCAAAACTTTGTAGGCTTTTGTTTAGGCTGCCTGAAAGCCATACCTTTGTGCAGCAGCACCATTCTGGTCAATCTCAGGTGTATAATACTTATCTGTAGGATGCATGGAAATTTATGATGCCCAAGAAACTTAGGCTATTTGAAGCCTATCTCAAATCCTTGTGAATGCTTGATGTAAATGTATTTGGGAGGGTTAGGAATGTCATCTGGCAAAGATTTTTTCAAGATTCTTGTACTAATTATTTCCTTTTATTGCTGTCCCATTTATTTAGTTCAGATATATGTTTATCGCAACTAAACCATCTTTGAGCTGGGAATTAGTTCAGGGAATCATCTGTTTACTCACATTTCTAACATCTCATGGTCACTTTTCTTGTGCCTTAAGCCTAAAACACATATGTTTGCAACTGTTTGGATTTTTCAAGATGATCTTGAAAGAGTAGTCATCTTTACAGATTCAAAGCTTTTGCTTTATTTCATCTCTTGTAACTGCTTTATTTTGCCTGCTTTTCTTAAGACATATGGTGTGTATACTGCAAGTGCTTTAAAGCAAGTTTTTCATGTTCCTTGCTCTTCAGAGCTTCTAATACAGACTTTGTCACAGTTGGTTTCTTAAATATATTGTACTCCTCTATACCATGGTAGGCTGTACTAATTCATTTTATTGAGGAGTTCATTCACAACCAGGAGTTTGTCTTTTGTGGAAAGTCTTGATTGAAGGTCTTCAGTTGGCATTCAGTAAGATGGTCTCTCTTAGAATCATATAATACAGGAGAGGAAAAAAAAAAACCCCAGCACATGCTTACTAACCTTAAGTCTGTAGGCTTCCCTTTTCTGTGCCAACTGTTCTTGGCCAGATCTTTGTTTTGTCACCCTTAGGACTACTTTGATAGTTCTTTCAAATGAATTATTCTCTTGTTTCCTTTCTGTGTTACTCAGACCTGTCTGATTCATGATTTGTGAAGGAAACATTCCTATAGTTTCTATATTAATTGTGTCAGTTTTATAAGAGAACAGACTATGTCCATATGCTTATGTATATATGCGCTGTATGTATATGTAATAATGATTTTTAACATCTCGGCAATGATTTGGAACATCCCTCTGGAACATTTTGAGTTATATTTCCAAGTTGTAAACCTGACATACAGTAAAAGCTTTTGTAACATGCCAAGGGTGTGGTTGGGAACAGAGCTCATTGCAGGTTCCCGGTGGAGCTGTTAGTTTGCTTTATTCATTATCTAGGCTGGGGCTGAGTTAACGTTGGAGTGAGGCACACCAGATGGGTGGCACAGGAGATGACCTTTCTTCATAAAACAGACAGACCTTCAGCGTTTCTTGCCATCATCTCTGTTCTTTATCTGTCATGTGTTGTGACTTATCACTCGTGGCCTTTAGTAGGTGGTGACCCTTTGCAGTCCATATTATTTAAGAGAGTCCTTAAGAGATTTTATTACTTAAGCCTTGCTGCTTTGAACTAACAGTGGAGATGTCAGTTGACACTGTTCTGCATTGCGAATTCCTTAGCTACTTAATTCCTACCTGAACAGAAAATTTGGAAACAGGTTGTGTTGAGACTTTCATAAAGCAACAGCCACAAAAGTCTGCTCCAGGATAAGATAGTTTGGATATTTTCCTTTTTATTTATTTGATTTAGATCAGTTTAGTAATACATACATGCAAAACTGATTTGTTGTTCTAAATGATGAATAAAAGCTGTTGGTTCAGACTTGTTCTTAAATGACACAGTGACCAAACTTTTATCAGCTGTATTACTGAGCTGTAGAAATCTGTGTATAAACCAATTAGTTGTAAATAAAACACTTAAGCATAAAAGATGAATAAATGATAAGTAAACCTACTTTTATATATGAGAAGTCCTTAGTAAAACTTCAAACTCACCTTTTCATTTAGTACAGCAACTTGAAAATTGGTCTGTATTTATTTAATTCTATCCAAGATCAGCTTGACATGGGTCTCAAAGATCTTTTGGATCCTAGCAAATACAAGATTACATAACACAGAATTAAAGAACTGTATCTATAAGATCTATAAATATATTTGCAGATGAGCAAAAAGTGCTGTCAAACTTAGCAAAGACTTATCCTTTGTTTCAAATCAACTTCCAGCTAAGGAGAATTAACCTTTCTTCTGGAAAGTACAAGTACAGGATTTGAGTATAATTGATTGTTTAAATCAAGGTTTCTTCCTTTCAGATTTAAATTAGAATTGATGGTTTTGTTTATTTTGGTATAAGTCAATACACTTTAACTCAGGGTGTGAGTTTATTTTTCTGAACCCTGAAAGTCAGATTGGAAAATTCCGTGTTGCTCAAGAGAAATGGATTGAGAAATGTCTTTGTAGATGTTCTCCTGCTGTAGCTCCAGGCCTTGAGGGGGGAGTGTGTGCATCAGATAGAGGTTTTAACTAGAGCAGAACAGCTGAAAGCCAGTTAGATGGAGATGAGTATTGGTTTTTTTCTCCTTTGCCTCCTTCCCTCCGCAAATACGGTCGACTTCTGACGGCAGTTGGGATGCTCTTTCTATTGCTACTGCTTACAGCTGAAATGGGGGAGCTTTGGAAATGTATTTTAGTCTTACAGTAGTGGTCACATAAGATGTTAGTGGGCTCCTGGCTGCCTGTGCACATTCAGGTGATGATTCTCTTCAGTGTGTGTGTGTGTATGTATGGATTATATGCATTCTGAAGCCATCATTATTATAATTATTATAAGGTAGTCTTTAGAGAAACAGTGTAAAACAGGGTTAATGATTGCCAGGGATAGAACTGGTATTTTCTTCAGTCACGCTAAAAGCTCTTTGTAGCTTGATAGAGCCTGAAGGCATATGGCATCAGGTATTGGTTGAAATTTTCTGGCTTTTCTTTATATGAGACCTTCAGGGTCCCTCTTGACTCCTAATATTAATCTCTGTGGAAATGATAATGAAGTAATCGCTGGTAGAGCCTAGCAGAGAACTTACAATAGGAAAATGAATTAAATGTCAACAATTTTGCTAGTGACTTTAAATTTTGACCCTCTATTTGAAGTCATTGCCTAAATGTTATAACATACTGTCTGTGAATAACATGGAGGAACATAAAACACACTGAGGTGCCTGTGTGATGCCTACAATTAGAGATAGCCATAGAGCATACTGACAATATGTCATTTTATTCTTCAAAAGTATGTTAACCAGATTATGGTTAAAAGAATTCAAAATGTGCCATCCTGAGCTATTTGTAACAGTTTAAATTCTGTGGGAGTCACTTTTACAGAAAACATGTGGTTATATACTCTAAAAGATGGGGTTTATATTTTCTTTAGGCATCAATCTTTTGTGCTGTGTTTCAAAGCAAATAGAAACAGAGATTTGCTTTTGATATAACACAGCATTTAAAACTCTAGTATTATGAAAAGAGTATGCATTATTGAAAGACTTTATCATGGAGATTTTTGTTTTCAGTATAAAGTTGCATTAGGATAATATTTTTTTATCATGCTGTTAGAGATCAAAGTATTAGTATAGTAAATAATCCTCCCTGTCTAACACATCTAAACATATAGTGCTAGCTTGCATACTGTGCTCCTGCTTCAGGAGAAACCAAGAATTGATTGTGGGCTGTCTGCCAGTAGGACAACAGTTTGTCTCTCCATGTGAGAAGAGCATCTTTTGCTGGCACAAAATGGGATTATACCATTGCCAGGAGTCAGCTCCACCTTTGCCATTATATTGTTGCCAGGAGTCAGTGACAGCTCCTTAATTATTGCTTTTGTCTGTAACAGTTGATCCTATATGGAGAATGTGTCCTTAAAAATCATTCTGTTATGATCCTGTGGCTTTTATCTATACTCAATGTTTGCCACCAAGACAAGTAAATGTGATGTCTTTATGTTCGTATATGTGTGTAAAGTTGCCATATCTTTGTGTCCATTTTATTTATATATTTATATTGCATGCACACACAAGCATCTAAACTGTTCTGTTGAGAATGGAAGGTAAATTCTTCTCCGTTGTTGGCATTGCATGGCTGACATGGTTGTGCTAGTGTCCTCGAGAAAATATGCTTAGAAGTGCAACCAACTAAGCATAGATAAGAGACCACTGAAAATACATATGTTAGTATATAGTTTCCCACAAGATTAAGCTAATTCTGTGTCAGTTGTTTTTCTCAGATATGCTGCAATAAATCCATAGAATCAGTAGAAATAATTTTATAGGGAAGAATTATATAAAATTTAGTGTAAATAAGGATATTTAATATGAAACAATGAATTTGTTCTAAGGTAACAGTCTGTTAAAATTTTTATAGCACCGGATAACATAAAAACATAAATAGACTTTGTAGTTCAAGCTAAGTTTGCCAATCTGCGTTGATATTAAATGCAAGACATTTTGTCTAGCCAAGATCACCCATGAGCCTACGTAGCTTTTAAAAAATATCTGTAGCTTTCAGAATACTTTGGATGCACAAATGTTAAGAAAAGGCACTTAAGTAAATCAATACATATTTTACCTTTTCTCTGAAACAGTGTTGTTTAACTGCTGGCTTGAGATGACCATAAGGCAGAAGAGCTCAGTTGGCTGTCTCATGAACTGTTCTTAATGAGCATTATGTTATTTTCCCCTCTCGTTTTTCTAGGCTGTTCAATTAACCCCTAGACGATGGCTGAACCTGCAGGAGTACCAAAGCAAAAAAATAATGGCAGACCATGGGGTTACAGTTCAGAGATTCTTCGTAGCTGATTCTGCAAACGATGCCCTGGAGGCTGCTCAGAGACTAAGTAAGTTGACTGGTAATGGGAGGAACCTGCTTCACCAGATAGCAATCTGGAAAATAAATTGCTTTGTAATAAGTTGTACACAATCTTCAAATTGGTGTTTATTGAAAAGGTTTGATACGTTATCCAGACCACAAGTATATGCCTAATTTCATATGTAAACAACAGTTTATAACAGTAACATTTGTTTAGAAATTTATTTCGAAAATGTTTTGTATGCAGCATGTAACATGAAATCTTTAATTAATATGATTTATGTAATTTTGAGTAATTCAGAGTTCAGAATAACATCATGAATGTTTGCTGAGGAAGATTATTTGTTGTTGTATACTTCATATAATTTAAGGAACTGAAGTAAATGAACTTGTGTAAAAAGTTGTTTTCGGACAAAAATTTGCTCTATTAAAAAGCAAAGGAAGAAAAAGGTTGTGGACTCTCCATTTTAAAAGATATTCAGAACCCAGTCGCACACAGTCAGCTTTAGCTGACCTTGCTTTGAGCTGGTGGGTAGGACTCTATGATCTCCAGAAGTTCTTACAACCTCAACTGTTCTGTCATTCTGTTGATGAGGAGAAGGGCTCCAAAGAGGAGGATGGTGGCGCGGGACCCTTTTGAAAACATCAAAAACCCCGCGGCAAAACCGCAAGCCGAGAAGGCAGAAACCCGGGGAAGAGGAAGACCCTCAAGCTGCCTGCCCCCTGAGCAGGAAGAGTGAGCTGGGAACGAGGGCAGCAGGGACTCAGGGTGGGCAGAGCCTGGAGTGATGATGCCCAATGGCCTTCACGTACAAGAGCAGCCCCCAGGGAGTGTGAGTGACCAGGAGCGCAGCAACAGGGTGGGCAAACAAGGTGTGGCGTGTCAGGAGGGCATGGGGCAACAACAGAATGGGCGAACAGGGTGTGGCGATGCCCATCTATAAGAAGGGTTGAAAGGATGATCCAGGAAATTACAGGCCTGTCAGCTTGACTTCAGTGCTCGGGAAGCTGATGGAGCAGCTTATCCTGAGTACCATTACACAGCATATGTTGGGACAACCAGATGATCAGGCCCAGTCAGCGTGGGTTTATGAGAGCCAGGTCCTGCTTGACCGACAACAGGGCAAACTGCTTATTGGATGAGGGAAAGACTGTGGATGCTGTCTACCTTGACTTTAGTAAGGCCTTTGACACCGTTTCCCACAGCATTCTCCTGACAAAACTGGCTGCTAACGGCTTGGATGGGCACACGCTTTGCTGGATAGAAAACTGTCTGGATGGCGAGGCCCAAAGAGTTGTGGTAAATGGAGTTAAATCCAGTTGGTGGCCGGTCATGAGTGGTGTCCCCCAGGGCTTGGTTTTGGGGCCACTCCTGTTTAACATCTTTATTGATGATCTGGACGAGGGGATCGAGTGCACCCTCAGTTAGTTTGCAGATGACACCAAGTTGGGTGGGAGTGTTGATCTGCTCGAGGGTAGGGAGGCTCTGCAGAGAGACCTGGACAGGCTGGAGCCATGGGCTGAGCCCAACTGCAGGAGTTTCAATAAGGGCAAATGCCCGGGGTTGCTCTTGGGCCACAACAACCCCCAGCAGCGCTACAGGCTTGGGGAGGAGTGGCTGGAGAGCTGCCAGTCAGAGAGGGACCTGGGGGCGTGATTGACAGCCGGCTGAACAGGAGCCAGCAGTGTGCCCAGGTGGCCAAGGCGGCCAATGGCATCATGGCTTGTACCAGCAATAGCGTGGCCAGCAGGGACAGGGAAGGGATCTGACCCCTGTACTCGGCACTGGTGAGGCCGCACCTCGATTCCTGTGTTCAGTTTTGGGCCCCTCACTACAAAAAGGACATTGAATGACTCGAGCATGTCCAGAGAAGGGCAACGAAGCTGGTGCAGGGTCTGGAGCACAGGTTGTATGGGGAGCGGCTGAGGGAACTGGGGGGGTTTAGTCTGGAGAAGAGGAGGCTGAGGGGAGACCTCATCGCCCTCTACAGCTCCCTGACAGGAGGGTGCAGAGAGCTGGGGATGAGTCTCTTTAATGAAGGAAAAAGTGATAGGACAAGAGGAAACTGCCTCAAGTTGTGCCAGAGAAGGTTTAGACTGGGTATTAGGAAACATTTCTTTACAGAAGGGGTTTTTAGGCGTTGTTGTTAGGTTAATGGTTGGACTAGATGATCTTCAAGGTCTTTTCCAACCTAGATAATTCTGTGATTCTATGAAGAAACAAAATATTTATGAGAGAATTATATGCATGTATATTTGTTCAGATGTATGTGTGTCCATATGGAGTGAAAATAAAAGGTGAGTTGAGTTACCTAGCATCACAAAAGGACTTGAGAGTGGCTGGGAGAGAAAACCCTGCTTCTGGAACTTAATTTTTGTTCTCTGACAACATCCTCATTTTAGGTGGGGTGAACATAAGATGATAATGTGGGTCAGAATTGCTTTTATTTATTACCTTTTATCTCAAAAGGAAATGTGTTGAAGTATGTTTGTCACCTCGTTCTAACTCTGAAAGAAGTTTTCTACTCCTTAAAGTTAGTAGGAGTTTGCATAGTTTTCTTTCCTCTTTTCATTTAATTTTTGCTAATATTAATATATTTAAAAAAGAAAAAAATCGTTAAAATTGCCAGAGGCCAGACATTGTTATAGTCTAATTGTGTAGTAATAGAAAGGTTTTTTGTTTTATGCTTTACATAATGCACAAGCCACTTAGTTAAATGCATTTCAGTTTTGCACACTGGAAAGAAATTAATACAACTTATTCATATCAAAGATCTCATCAGACCTCAAGTAGCCGAATAGGATTAACATAATGGCTTTCTAAATCTCGATAACCTTATTAAGGTAATATATTTTTCAGTAATCAAAATTTTATAATGACAACCAGTATATTTGAAACAAAAACTTTAAATGCAACTGTTATGGTCATTTGACAGTGCGAAATGAAAAATGCTGACACAAAGCAAAAAGCTCATAAAATGGGAGGGTTTCCTCATGACTATATGTCTGAGAAAATGAAATGCTAACTGAGGTTGTGGCAGGTTTTTCACAAATCTTACAGCACTTAAACTCTCCTCTTCATGATTGAACTCATAAATGGATCAGTCTATCCAATAACTATCACTATTCTCGATCTCTATTACTATTTGGAAAAATAAATTACTCTATTAAGGGCAGTGAACCTCTTCTGTTTTATGATGCCAGGTTTATTTTAAATAACCTCTGTATCTTCCTTACTTTGCAAATCACAGAAATATTGGGTCTAAACAACTGTGTTGAAATTTAAATAAAAGTAAAATCTAAAACCAAAAATTACTTGCTAATCAAACTATTGGGTGAATTGTATGTATTTTAGCTGGGTTGGCTTGTTAACACTTCAAAAATTGTAAGTCAGTGGTACCTTTCTCCAGTTCATGTGATTGCATTCAACTCTGCTGCATTACTGGTCGTTAAAGAATTGTGGTTTATAGTGTAGAAGCCATTTCACGTTGAAATGATTGACGCTCCATTGATCCACTAAATAATTAACAACATCCTCGTAATCATTCTGATAGTCTGCTGTCGTACTTCTAACACGCACTTCGAAAACTAAGCATCAAGAACACAAGTTCCAAGATTTCATCATATTTATCTTTATGATCCTTCAGACTAGTGGTATCTCCGTCACTCAGGTTTATCTGCACAATTTGATAAGGACTGCCATCTTCTAAATTTGCAACCACATAAAGTACAAAGTTATAGGTGAAACAAAAAACTTCACCTACAGGAGGCACAAAATATTACAAAATAAAATAACCAATGGAGGCGGCTTAGGGATGTTTTTGATAGGCAGGCATTCTGCAGCAAAAGATGGTGACAGTAAAGGCCAATCACCCCTGCCAAGTCCTGCTCAAAAATCTGGTGGTTTAGATACTGTATACCACATTGCAGCTGTCCTTAACTTTAGCTTCTACAAACAAGAAAGGATGCTTGCCAACATATTTTTGAGATAACTTTATTCTGTTTTTATCAAGATTTCAAAGTCAAAGGTTCAGTATTTTTCTTGTGAAAGGAGGTTCTTTCTATCAACGTGTCATCATGAATGCAGGAGAAAAAATTTTCCTTGATAATCTTACAGCTTTACATCACTCATATATGTCTGTGTGTGTGATAAAGGGGTGCAGTTAAAGGGATAGAAATTCCTGACATGGAAATCTTTACAAAGTCTGGTATTCACAAATTAATTTTACAATTTCACCAACTACTACATGCTTGACAGAGCTGTCTACTGCTGCAGTGCCTGTGGCCATCAGTTTTGCTATTGCTGGATTTCCTGTTGATGCAATGGGAAGAGATAGGATTAGATCATTTTTGCTGCTGTCTTCACTTGTCAGGAAGGTGTTAATGCGTGTGTTCTTGAAAGGGTTTGCCTTTATCCAGAATCAGCAGTTTTGTTATAGTTTGCTCATTTCCTCTGTTGCGCTCTCTATTTTTATTAATATGTACACTGAATACACAGAATGTTAATTTTCTCAAAGATTTTCAAAACTTACCAACAGCACAAAAGGCAGTCTACAAGGAATTTTTAATGGAATTAAAGGATTGAGGTTTTTTTTTTCTTCTAAGATAAGAATGGCAGATGTGAGGAAAATTAAAATGACATCACTAATACTGACTTCAAAAGAACTTGTACACAATAAGGAATACAGAATTAGGCCTCAAGGAATTCATTGCCTTCTACGTGCTAAGCAATTTTGAGGTGTAACTCTTGTAGAGAAGATGGTATTTACAGAATACCAAGAAATGCAGTCACAAACGGTTTTGTGTTTCATGTTAAAATTCCTAGGTTTTCAAGAGGAAAGTAAAAGACATTGGGCTGTTTTGCTCTAACAGCATGGCATTGCTTGATCTGCCATCTGAAGAAACACAACCTGTAAACACCTTACAGTTCTAGTGCAGCTATTTAACAGAACAAAGAGAAATATTTGGGAGCCGAGTTTTTGCCTGAAATGTAAGATCATCTAAGGATTCCTGCATTAACTCACAAGT